TTTCATTCCTTTTTTTTTTTTTAATTCTTTCTTTTTTGTGTTTCTTTTACCATTTTTTCTTATTGCAAGATTAAATTTGTTGGCTAGCATAATGTAGTGGTAATGGGACGGATCCATAGGAGGTCTTTTTCCAAATCTGAGGCACAGGGGAGCTGCTCAATTTCTTGAGTTCGTCACCACCCTCATTGGCATTAAATTGGACAATGAAGAGTGCCAGGGAAAATTAAAAAAGGGAACATTAATGGTGTTACAAAACTAATTACATGCTGCTTTTACTAAATTTGATTATCAGTTCTATTTTTGGGTTAAGGTGAAAATTAATGTAAAAAAACAGGTGATGAGATAGTTTTATGATATAATTTTCCAACAGTAACCAGTGTGGCTCAGTGTTACTGGTCCAATTAATAGGTAAAATATTTTTTTTTAATTTAACCAGCATATGCTTGGTAGGTCCTAATTGTCGGAAATTTAACTAATTCACTGTTAATAGGGTTATGTGCTTTAATAGGAGTTTTGATTTTGCTGATTGAATCCTTGGTAGGGCTCATCATTTAGCCTAAATGATGGATTAGATTATCTTTTTGATGCAAATCTCGACAACTAGATCTATTTCTCTTACTTGTCCAACTGCTGCTAACCACCACATTAACAAGAAATTAAACTAAACAAGTTGTATCATGTACGCTGTCATGGCCTACTATTCTTCCATCCCTTGTCTCATTTATATGCCATTCTGACAAAATTTAATGGAGTAATTCTTAAAAAGATTTGATGATCTTCGCCTTTGGTCAAACAGACACTATTTAGTCTCGTAGTACACTGTTAACGACAACTAACTAAATTGATTCCCCTTTAATCCCATGTGCAAAGATTTCTTTCTATTGCATGATTATGTTCTCGGTTAGATAGTGCATTAATAATTCTCTTTGACCAAAATGTGCTTCAATATTACAACTATATATATATTTTGGTTACTGTTGCTTAAAAGATTACTTTATGGTTTTATGGTATGAATTACTGATCATTGTACTTCTGTTTTGTTGGCTATCATCAGATCTCTACCTTCAGATTTCACCATGGGTGGTAATAAAGGGTGGGTGAGAACCTTCTCCGGTGAAAGAGAAAAGTCTGGGAGAGAGCGCAAGGGCTGGATGATAATGATCCATGATCTCTCAGGCTCAGCTGTTGCAGCTGCCTCGATGATCACTCCCTTTGTTCCGTCCCCCGGTTCTGATCGAGTTTCTCGATCAAATCCCGGGGCATGGCTCATCCTCCGCCCTAATGGACCCTCCGTTAGTAGCTGGAAACCTTGGGGCCGTCTTGAGGCTTGGCGAGAGAGAGGGCCAGTTGATGGTTTAGGCTATAGATTTGCGCTCGTTACTGACTCCGGCCTAACAAGCGGAGTGCCTATTGCTGAAGGTACAATGAGCGTGAAAAGGGGGGGACAATTTTGCATTGACAATGCAAGGAAAGATTCAGTTCTGAGTTTAGTGTTGCCAGTTCGAGGATTTGTCATGGGATCAAGCGTAGAAGCTGAAGGGAAAGTGAGCAAACCAATGGTTCAAGTAGGGGTACGACATGTAACCTGCATGGCCGATGCAGCCTTATTTGTTGCACTTTCAGCTGCCATTGACCTCAGTATGGATGCTTGTCGCCTTTTTTCACGCAAGCTCAGGAAAGAGCTTTGCCCGGATGAACAAGACTCACTCTCATAAGAACTTTCCTCACACCAAATTCAACACTTTTTTTTTTTTTTCTTTTTTCTTCTCATGCAGATGATAACCTTTGGTTTCTGCCAGCCAGACCTTGGTTTGAGCACGGAAGATGCCTCTTTTTGGCCGCCTTTTCCAATAAAACCAAAAGACTATTTTTCTTACTCAATCCTCACATTTCTTTGGGAAAAACAAAATACCATTTTGCTCTTTCTTTGTGAGACTGACTCTGGTGGTTTGGCTGTGTCGAAGAAGCAATCTTGCTCACTTCTAAGTGATATTTAACTCCCTTCAAAGATGAAGTATATCTTTGTTTATTTTCACGGTTTGGTCCACTTAATTTTGTATCTCTACAATAGCTGCTGAGTGTTGTCTCTCGTTACAGAACTGAGTATTGCGTGCGTTGCAGATTGACACTGTAAAAAGAAAAGAGTTATATGTTTGATACAGTAATCATATTTATTGATTCTTTCCATTGCCGTACATGTTTCTTCAATTATGAGGTAGCAACTGTTCCTTAAGTGCTACTTGTCGCCTGCATGGGCCATTTTTTTTACCGTTCTTTTTGTCAGTCATCATTTGTCTTGTTCTTGAGTTTCTACTCGATTTAATTTTTCCTCTTATATCTTAATTCTTTTTTTATTTTTTTATGATTCTTATATCTTAAACGATGCTCTTGTTCATGGATATGCTGGGTGGAAAATGATTTGCAGGCGGATCGGGTTAATTTTGCTGAATCACATGGCCTAACACGTATGCCTCTTGTGGCAATTGATCCAATCAGCTGGCACGGTCCAAAACTACCCCACAACCGATCCCTAGATCTATCTGGGTTGATATTTAATTACTCCGTCTACTAATACCTACTGGGGTTTATCAAGTGGATGGGGCAGAGAACCCTTAAAATTCTAAACTAGGGTTTGAATACTGGGCCTTGTAGGTGAAGGCATGCATCGGAGTGGGAGGTTTAAAAAAAAAAAAACCTCCATATAATAACAATTAAATCACTAAAAATATCAACAAATGAAAATTCCTTCCTTCTTAGTTTTGATTGGATACTTTATTATTTATTGAGAAAGCTTGTTATTTAGTTGAGAACATGAGAAACGCTGGAAAAAAAATTTACTGACAAATTCGACATTTGTTTTTTTTTTTTTAGTTGGAAACAAAAAGATTTGAAGCCTCACATCCTTTACTAAAAAAACAAAAAATCACACCCTCTATTAGAAAGAAAAAGTAAAACACAAAAAGGAATTTAATGGCTTTCGAAATAACTGGCACCGGCAGATTAGCTGGGCTGACTAAAATATTCTATTTGTAAATCAGGAGTGGAGCCGCCATATGATGATTGCCCCCATCAACTTTGAAAAATTAAAATTTTTAGCAAGTAATAACTTTTAATTTGTCAAAAAGGATTTAATTTAATGGTTAAGGTTGAAATTCCAAAAAATAGACATTCTAAATTTGAATCCCTCTCCCCCCCCCCTCCCACCTTTCCTGCATGAATTTCACTCCTCCCTAAAAAAAATTAATTTTTATTTTTTTGCCTTGCATTGGTACCATAATTCTCTATAACTCCTTTTACCTTCTACATTGACCCTACTAAATTTTCTGAAACTTCTTTCATTCTTTACCTTCGTAGGATCGAGCCTATTGACTATTGAAGTCTTCAATCTAAAATTTCAAAATATTTCAATCATAATTTTGTTTAGACAAAATATTATGTACAAATAAAAAAATCCAATGCTTTTGGGGGGATTTATTAATTTCTATAACTCAATGGGAGTAAAAACTAAAATTTCAAAATTTGGGGTTAGCCACTTGGTGTTTAAGCATTCGTTGTAGGATCGAATCTAAGGCTGCAAACGAATTGAGCCGATCGCGAGTAATTCGAATCAAAACTCGAGTTCAAAGATGTCCAGTTCATTAACTTACGAGTCGACTCGATTGTATATATAATTTTTTATTTTAATAGTAAAATTACCTATATTATTCTAATATTTTATTATTTGTTAAGAAAAATTCTTGTTTTATTTAATTTTAAAAAAATAAAATAATTATTTTTATTTTTTTTTAAATTCGAGTTTAAACTTTACATTAAAAACTCGTCGAATTTGAATTCGACTCGATTTGTTTCCGGCCGCAGTTGAGCCTATTGACTATTGAAGTTGGTGCTATGTTTTGCTTGCTGGCAAGCAGCACCTGCCATTTGCTCTTATGCCACTCAGAGCGTTTATCATACATCATGCTCAGGCTTGATTATGCCGGGATTGCGGCTCTAATCTCGACCTCCTCCTATCCTCCTGTTTACTATTCCTTCATGTGCTATCCAGTCTTTTGCAACTTGTACCTGGGATTCATTACTATTCTGGGAATTGGTACCATATTGGTTTCCCTTCTACCAGTTTTCCAGACTCCAGAATATCGTACTATGCGGGCATCCCTCTTCTTTGTGATGGGGGTGTGAGGTGCGGCGCCAATTCTGCGTAAGCTAATTCTAGTTTGGAATCGGCCTGAGGCACTTCATACAACTGGGTATGAACTTCTAATGGGAGGTTTTTATGGCATTGGAGCACTGGTCCACGCCATGAGAGTTCCTGAAAGATGGATGCCTGGAAAGTTCGATACTGCTGGGCACAGTCACCAACTCTTCCATGTGCTTGTAGTTGCAGGGGCTTATACCCATTATCGTGCAGGGCTAGTTTATCTAAAGTGGCGGGACCTGCAGGGTTGCTGAATTTCTTGTGATTAAATGGCTATCTGGTGAGGTGTAGGTTAAGGGATCAAAATCCTTGACCTGCATTCTAAATTCAAGATTTCTTGGAACATTTTCTCAACGGGTGCATAGGCATTGGTTTGTACCGATGGTAGTTCAGTTCCTCGACTTCCTCCGAACTTTTTGGATTCCAGTTTGAATCGGTGGTGATTCAGTTCCCTAAGTTTCCCTTGATCCTTTTGGATTTCTTTTTCCCCTAGTATAGAGTAAGAGTAGGTCCCTGACTCCATTGAGTCCCCCTTTCTCCTAATATGGGATAGGAGTAGGAGTAGGCCCCCAACTCTTTTGGGCATCGATCTGGACCGATGATGGTTTAGTTCTCCGAATTCCGCTTGATTTCTTTGAGTCCTCACTCCCCCGGTATAGTATAGGGTAGGAGTAGGTCCCAACCCCTTTGGATCCTCCTCATCCTAATATAGAGTAAGAGTAGGTCTCCAACTCCTTTGAGCCCCCTTCTTCTAATATAGAATAGGAACATGTATAGAATAGAATTTATCGTATCGAACAAAAAAAAAATTGTCAATTGTCATCGACGTCAGAACTTTCCCAAACAAGAAAGCAACTTTTGATTCGACAGCGCTTTCTTGTATCTAGAGTGGGGAGTGGGGACATGATGCGCTCGTCGTGGGGTTTCGGCCAAATCGTCCTCCTCTCCCTCCACGTCTCCCTATCTACTGCCTTCCCCGACTCGATCCTCCAAATCCTGCCCGAAAATTCAGGATCTTCCCCCCACCACCGCCACCGGAAGATTCCGAGGGACGATAATCTCTACTGTGACAGCTGGAGATTCGTCGTGGAAGCAAATGACGTCGGTCCCTGGGCTCGCATCCCATCCAGATGCGTTGCATTCGTGCAGGACTACGTCACCAATGATCGGTATCGGGCGGACTCAGAGGCCGTAGCTGACGCTTCCCTGGAGTTTGCGAAGACGGTGAAGGTTTCCGGCGACGGGAAGGACGCTTGGGTCTTCGACATTGATGAAACTCTGCTTTCCAACGTCCCTTATTATGCGGTCCATGGGTTCGGGTGAGTCAAACGAATCTTTGCTAATCCTGGTTTCAGCTGCATCTGATTGTAATCATTGTCACTGCTATGAAATGCTCCCGCTGAAAATACTAATTAGCAACAGTAGTCAACTAAGTACTTGCTTGAAAGTAATTAGGTAATGCTAATATGTTGTCGAAATAGGAATTTGTGGACTCTAGCTAGCTATGGTGGTTGTCCTAAATACATCCCGTACCTTCCAATTCGCAGCCGCAGGGCGTAAGGATGCCAATTCAGTAGAATGGTATATCTATGAATTTTCCATAAATAACACGCTCTTTTGTTTGCTGGTCCTTAAATTAACTAGTAATTGGTGTTTTTGCTACAGACCATTCTTTTCCGAAGTTAATGGTATTCTTCAACAATGCTTGTGGCTTGTGCATTCTAATTTTCTGACGGTGTCAACTTGTGGACCTCAGAAATCACTTTAAGAATGCGTGCATTTGCATCAGTGATTGATTACTGAGGCTTGTGGTTTTCTGAATGATCCGTACGAGCTCTTTTAGTTACATGTCTATAGTTGCCATGTGATAGCTAATAATTGCCTTTAGAGGAGGCCACATTGTTATCATCATATCATGGTAGTGCTAAAATTTTGCAAAATTGGATGCTAGGGGGACCTTTACCATTCAGTTGTAACGGGACAGTGAAATATGCATTGTTGCAGAGCTCTCAAACTCAAACTCAAACTGAAATTGTGGATCTTTATACGTCTAAAGTGTAGCCCACCAACCCAAATTAGACCGTTCATCTTTACAATCCTTCAAAATCTTGGCCGTTAGTTTCACTTAAAATCACTTTCTGGTCGTGAAGCCCCTGCTTTTGAGCGAAATCATGCATCATACTTCATCACCATCCTGTTCCAGAACAAGTTTCAATTTATGCTGTCCATTTTTTATATGAATTTATCATGCACGTACTATTTGCATTCGGTTGTCATATCTGAGTAAATACAGATTAGCAGATTGCATCCGGCACAGACCATGTTCGTTTTTTCACTTTCCTAGTAAACAAAAACGAACAAACAAACAAACAAACTGATATGCTGATCATTGGCTAGCTGCACGGTAAAAAAAATTTTTTTTTTTTTGGGGGGAGCCTGCATGGTAATTTTTGATTGCTTGGCTGATGCTTTGCTTTACCATCTTCCTTCATTTGTTCTTGATAATTGATCAAACTCTGTTAGTTGGACACAGATCAGAGACTTTTGATGAAAATTCATTTGATGAGTGGGTTGACTTGGCTGAGGCCCCTGCATTGCCAGCAAGTTTGAGGCTGTATAAAGAGCTGGAGCAGCTGGGCTTTAAGATATTTTTATTGACTGGTAGAACTGAATTTCAAAGGAGTGCCACAAGCAAAAATCTAGATTACGCTGGATACAGCAACTGGGAAAGGCTTATCTTGAGGTAAGTCGTAGTGTGAATGAGTAACGTATATCAGTCCATATCATAACTGAAAAAAGTACTAATTGTAAACATGTTTCAATCCGTATGATAACCCAGATGAGTAGGATTTTCCTCAGCTATCGAGTCTTTCGAAGCTTTCATATACGTGCACTGCTTTGTGTGCTCATGAAATATCAAAAGTAAATACCCATTATTTGGAATGTTTTATTATTTATTAGTATGACACCATAGTATTTTTGGTGAAGTGGCTCATGAAAAGATGTTAATGAATTTATCCAAACACTCCCAGTAGTATTCCAGTAATCTGTTGACTGAGGAGATCTAATTCCTTCCGATGATGGTAAACCTGCCACAGTCTACAAATCTGAGAGGAGGAAGGAGTTAGAAGATGAAGGTTATGTTATTCATGGGAGCTCAGGTGACCAGTGGAGCGACTTGAATGGTTTCGCAGTTGCCGAACGGTCCTTCAAACTCCCAAATCCACTGTATTATATTGCCTAATGGAACAGGTGGTGGATAATTGGACATTTGCTCCTCTGTAACAACATTAATCTGATTTTTTTTTTTTTTACCTTTGACCGCCGCCATGAGCGTGGACTTCTTGTGTTATTCCTCAATTAATGTGTACTAAAATCCTTAAATTTACTTTGCACATGCCGAATGGCCCACCCTAAAAGGAGAATGTATAAAAGAGTCAATAATTGGTTTCTTTCTCTTTTTTTTTTATCCATTATGTTAGTTTAGTCACAATTAAATGGAAAGTATATGATTAGAGGGAGGGTTGAACCATTTTGTCAGCAGGCTATTGGCTGTTGGCATCAATTGGTTTCGTAAACGTATTAAATGGTGGAAAGGCACGCACGATTAAGCAGAAATTAGAGGGGAAGGGACAGTGCGAAATTTCACGCACTGCTACTTTTGTGCCACCAGTTGGCAGAATAGAATAATGCTCACTTTTTCTTTATCTGGAAGAAAAAATGGGCACCAGAAATAGCAAAGCGAACGAAAGGGCTTACAATTATTGCGTCGTGTCACGTGAAAGTTCTGAATCTTCATCCTCATTGATCATGAACAAGATAGAAGTTGACAACATAATTGTCAGCACTGTTAAGCTGCAATTGGTGGGGCAAATCTTCGTTCCGTTCGGGCATGAACTGGGATCAAATACGGCATCAAGAAAAAAAAAAAAAACAACAGATCGTACTCAAGGTTGGCAATAAAAGAGTCGAGGCACAATTTGACAAAAAAAAAAAAAAAAAGAAGAAGAAGTCAAGGCATAATTAAAGAATTCCAACATATATTATATTACCCAATAATTAATATTACTGGTATATGTTACTAGCAGTACAGTCGCATATGGTCTAATCGAAACAATTGGCTGTGAAAAACTTGTAGTAGCAGAGCGCAAGTAAAAATTCATCTTCAATTGGAGCTAGAAATAAACAAATTTGGAAGCTCTGGTCATAACTTCTTCGCTGAAGAGTTAATGAGTGACAGCCCACACTAGGCTAAAAGCTAGCCTGTTTTGTGTCCCTCTTTCTTCACTCATTGATGTGACGGGCTTGGAGCTGGACCTGTCGGAGTCTTTCGATCCCCAAACAGTGTACCACAAACGAGAGGCCTTGCTGAAGGAATTCTAAGGCAACTCAATCCACCTCCGGGAACTGCCGAGCACTCTGGCTGAGGCCTCTGCATAACCACTCCAGGAATGCAATTTAACGAAAAATCAAACCCAATGCTCAGTTTTGAGCAATCCTGGTTGAATCCAGAAAAAAAATTGTAGGCGACAGTCAAATTCAGCAAGTTTCTCAGTGCACAGACCATGTCCGGCAACTCCCCTGAAAGCTTGTTGTGTGCAAAGTTGAGAACTTCAATACCGCTTAAGCAAGAAATGGAGTCTGGCAAGTGCCCCATTAGCGAGTTAAAACTTACGTCCAGAACTTGCAAATCCGTCCACGTGCCAACTCCTTCAGGGATGCAACCAGTTAGTTGGTTGTTGAGGATCAAAATCTCCTTTATTCCAGCGTAGCCGAAGCTGAATGGAATGTTGCCACTCAACCTGTTGTTAGCTAAATTTACCACGGACGCCGGAGAGTTTCCCAGATTTTCAGGAAGATCGCCGTCGAACTGGTTGTTGTTGAGAAAAATTGCGTCGAGTTTCTTGTTGAAGAGATCCTCAGGAATGGGACCTGAGAAGCTGTTAAATCTGAGGTCTAAGTAGAGCAAGTTGGGAATGAGAAGAATTGTGGTGGGAAACGGTCCAGAGAACTGGTTGTTACTGAGGTCCAGCTCTGTTAAAGACGAGAGATCTTTGAAAGAATCGGGGATTCTGCCACCGAACATGTTACTGTTCAGGTGAAGGAGTGACAAGTCTGTGAGTAAAGAAAGTGCTTCAACGAGCGTGCCCCGAAGATTTGCATGGTTAAGATCTATACCTGCGACGACAGGACCCATTGGATTGCCCATGTAATCCTGGGAGTCTGAACAAAAAACCCCTTTGTAAGAACACACATTTGAGCCAACCCAAGTACTTAAAATCCCCAGTGGATCATCTGTGATTGCTGATTTCCAAGCCTGGAGAGCAGCGTATGCCCTCGAGTCAGCAGGACCAGCTGATGGAATTGGATTCTTGAACCCTGCTCCACCTCCACCAAGCCAAACACCACCACCTCCAACTCCGCCACCAACACTGCCTACACCAACGCCAATGCCAACGCCTACACCTACACCGCCACCAACTGAGAATGCAGCTCCTGTAGCGTTTAGCATATAAAGCAAAAAAGCCAAGAGCAGAGTAGTTGTTTTCTCCATTTTGAGGTGAACAGTCAAATTTCCTATATGATGGGCTCTCTTGTGAGCTTGGAAAAATGAGGTAGCTGCACGGATGACTGAAAGAAGTTGGTGGGGTTTATTGGTCTTGAAATGAATGAAATACATTTATTGCATATACGTAGTTGTGTTTGTTACACTACTGCTACCGTCTTTTTGTTTACAATTCTGGGGCCAAGAGCGTATTAGTATGTTGGCTGGTTAAAGTAAAACTTTTTTGGTTCGGTTATCAAACCAGTCAAGCATCCCGCCCCACAACACAATGCATGCGAATCATAAGGAAAAAAGGAGTAACTCTGAAAAAAGGAGACTGGTCAAAGGTGAAATTTTGGGCAGCCTATTGCTCCTTCCATTAATAATAAGAATGATGAAACAGCGGAGGATTACTTTACGTGATTCGATGTCACATTCTTCGTAATTACGAGAAAGCGACAGAGGTTCTTATCCCAAAGAACAGAACAGGGAGAGAGCCAAGAATGCGAAGCGTTAATACTCAAAAAAAAGAAAAGGGAAAAAAAAATCTTGTCAATGGAAATCTGGAGATGGTAAAGTTCATGTTTGCATTTTACCATCAGCAGCAGCAGCAGCAGCAGCTGCTAATGGCTTGTGCCTGAAATTTATCTGCACTCGAATGATTGCTGATTGGTTCCCTGTCTCTGCACTCCCATTTTTGGGCATGCCATTGGCCAAGTAACGTGCAATTCAGTAAATATTTCCTTGTGCCAATGATTTCCCCAACTAAAGCAAAAACGCGTGCAAAAACTCCAAACATTTTCAAGAGAGGGTGGCTACCGGCCATGATTGAGTAATGTTTATCTTATACTGTCTACTCCACTGTACCAGTTTATAATTATTTCTTTACAAACATTTTTCTTCTCTTGCCAAATAAATAGTACGACTACACAATCATCTGTAAAACTTCCACTTAGAATTTATTTATTATTATTATTTTTTTGTGGTAGCAAGCCCGTCTTAACTTCCACTGTACCGGCCCGTGGCATCCACGCATTGACTCCATGATCGAGAAGGTCTACGATAGAGTATTGCATGCAGCCTCCTTCGGGCCTCGGGTTCTTGTGAAAAAGACTGTTGCTCTGTGGGCATACGTTGGGCCTGACAACTAATTTAAGGACTGAGCCCATTCTGTAGAGGCCGCTGTATTGGTTAGGTACTGGAAAAGGTTTGATAAATTTTCTAGTTTTGCCTTGGGCCCATCAGCATTCTAGGTGACCTAGATCGCTAAAAATCTTTCTTCGCTTTCCCCTACTTGCGCGCTAAGGAAGCTCATGCGGGAGGAAAATAACTAACTTTTCGTGCACTTTTCCCTGCAAACAAACACCATCTAAGGGGAGGAATCGCATATAAATGTGCCAGGCCTGATAATTAGGTCTGTAACATGTGTTGAAATTATAAGTGAAAGGATGCTCTCAACATTATGGAATGTTAAGGGCTAATCAATACTCCCTCTGTCCCAATTATATAGTAATGTTTGGGAAATCCGGCTTTTTCAACATAGTTGTTTGATTGTGATGTTTGTGCTTCTCTTCTCAATTTTACTCTCACAAATTCAAAATTTGAAATTGAATAGTAACATGCATATGATTAGAAAGAATGATTATATTGGAAAGACGGTGCTTTTATTTTTTCAACATCAAAACCTTCAATAAATGGTATAGCATGGAAAGTAATGGATGTGGCGGGGGAGAAATTGATTTGTTTATAGTAACCATTGGCATGTATAAGAGATTTCAAACCTAGCTGCCAGTCACGCCTTCTGGTCTTACTACCTACCTACAGTCCGGAGACAGCACCAAACTCCATGACTAAGACTAAACAATTCGCCTCAAAGAAAAGACAAGAAATGTAAAAAATGACATGTCTGATGGAGTTGCATTGCATACAATTTATGTATGGATAAGATTTGCATCGTTCTGGCGTGATCAAAATCTAAAGCAACCTGATTGACTATGAACTTCGATCTTTGATTGATGATAGAACTGCCATGGAAAAAATAGTGACGAGAAATTGTCATGAAAACACGGCGGCACAGGCTGAAAAAGATACTACTATTACATTTCAACAAATTAAGAATAAAGAACCGTGTGGAATTAAGAAACAAGAAATTTCCCATCGGCTCATTGAAGCTATCATCATGCGCTCAAGTAAGGATAATTTCTCACATGATCAGGACACACCACAGCAGCCAGCGCTCTACATTTTGTCTCCAACGAGCTTTGGCTCAGTGAGTGCTAGTACTCTATATAATTGTCTCCAAGATCGAGAAATTTGTGTTCGAACCCTTTTTGAGTGAACCCAAAAAAAAAACAGAAATCAATGGCAACTTGTTACTTGACTAATGGTTGCCGTCAAATGATTCCTAATTAATTAGTGGTAGCACGGGTTCCCATTAGGCTTTCTAATAGTAGATGCTTTGGCTTTGGGTTTGGCAGAGTGCTTCGTCACGTCCGCCATCATATTTGCTTGACGGGGAGGGAGGAGGGGCCGGCGGGGATACATGGTACATGCATGAACAAAAAATAATGGTGAATGGGATTTCTATTTACCTGGTGATGGGAATCATGATGAAGTCTGACCTCCATCCAGTGCCTGTGAACGCAATCCCCGTCTACGCATATTTACCATCTTGTCACTGATTACGTTCACATGAATAGATGCACCCGTATGATTTTTTGACAACAGTTCAGTTTTCGTGGATTTTCTTTAATTCAATTGAATTATTTCCTTAAAATAAGTTAGAGTAGAAATAGATAGTGACGATTGATTAAAACAAAAAAAAAGATATACGCAAACCAACTGTTTGTTCAGACGTGTTTGAATTAGCAAAAAGTTACTTGAACTGACTTTAGAATATTTTTTATAATATGATGTATATATGAAACAAAAACAAGTGATCGGAATTTGTGTGCATAATGTAAATAAAATAATATTAATTTTTTAAAAAAAAAATTTATGGTATACAAATGGGCCCATGACTTCTCCAGTAAGCATTAATTAATGACCCCGGAAACCAAGTTGGTTAGATAGCAGAAGTGACGTTTGTGAAAACGTAGCAATTGGCATTAGCTAAGCATGAATAAAATGCGAATACAGACGAAAATGCCGTTCTCACTCCCAGTTGAAACCTGTACTTTCCAGCTTTGAATTAAAGCCATTGTCGGGAGGGGCGGTTTATGCTGGAAAATAATACTCCCTCCGTCCCACTTTAATAGTCTTGTTTTCCTATTTCGTCTGTCCCAAATTATAGTTCACTTTCCCATTAAGAAATGTAGTAATCTTTTAAATTGTCTAAAATACTCTTATTAAATATCTTGTTATTAATACATTGTTATTAAATACTAACCCACTACATTGAATATATTGAGTTTTTCCAATACTAATCCATTAGTTGTAACTGATATTAATTGACACTCTTCGTGATTAGCATAAGGGTATTTTAAAAATTTATTAATCTAAATTTATATTTTCAACCAAATTAATTATACTTTCTTAATCTGTGTGAAAAAAAAATTAAAACTAACAAAACGGGACAGAGGGAGTAATATTAATATACACGAAGAAGGAAGAAAAAAGAGGCAAGCGTTTTGCTTTGAAAATTGGTTCGCCTATTTGTGTCCCAAATAATATGTCGGTTCTATGAAAATGTAGGGGCTAGATGATAATTTTAAAACATTAATAATTGATCTATCTTTTTTTTTTTTTAAGTGTGATTATTGTGTGTTCTTAGTGTACCGAACAATAATAATAATAATAATAACTTCAAAGGTTTGAAGAAATAAAATAAAGAATTTGTAGTCATTTTTAAAAGATCTTAGATGGCTTGGTACAGTAGGCTTGAAATCGCTGGTTACTTGTAATTTGCAAGAATCCATACTTTATTTCTTTTTTTTTTTTGACTGTTTGTTTGGATTGTGTTTTATTTCCCAAATTTTATCTGCTTACATCATCATTACAATTTCCAATACACCTTTTTATCTTCCCAATTACCTTTTTATCTCACACACATCACATCACAAAAAGTGCTACAGTAAAAATATTCCAAATAAAACACAATCCAAACAAATCTATGTTTCAAAAAAATAAAATAAAAACTAACGAGTGATTCAATTTTGTTCTTTTCCTCCTTCGCTTAGCATATTTTCCCATTCTCTCTTATTTTGAAGAGCCTCTCTCAATTCTATAATTCTTGCTCTTAAATGAATTTTTTTTTTTGTTTCTACTCTATTGGATGTATATATGAGGGTTTATTAGTCAACCATAAACAGGCTATCATTCAAAGGCGTATTAGTATTAGGTACTCCCTCCGTCCCACTTTGATAGTCCTATTTTTTTTTTCGTCTGTCCCAAATTGTAGTCCAGTTTTCAATTGAAGAATGTAGTTGTATTTTAATTTTTCTAAAATACTCTTATTTAATGTAAGTTGTTGTTACTATAAACTTACCCCATTTAATGAGAATTGATTCTTTTTTTACCATCAATTCAAGTTCCTATAAAGTTATACTCTAATTAATGTGAGGGTATTTTAGAAAAATAGTTACCTAAATTGATTGTTCTAATAAAATTAACTATTTTTTCTTAAACTGTGTGAAAAAACAAATAGGACTATCAAAGTGGGACGGAGGGAATATTGTTTTAACTTTTTTGGAAAAAAACAAAATTAAATTTGGAAGGTGCGTAAAATGTAAGTATAGTAGAGCCATCTATTATGTCTTTGTTTACATAATATGAACGGTGAATTAGGAATAATAATGGGAATATCAATATATGCTACCTCTACAATGGGAATTTTCCATTTTTGATGACCTAAAACATAATAGAATTAATTATGTTGCTTTTTCTAGTCATCCAGAATTTATATAAAATGGAAAAAACCTCACTCCTCACGAGTCACCATAAACAATAGTATATTACTAGTAGAAAAATATAGGGATAATTTCAGGAACCTCCCCTGAGGTTTCTGACATTTACACTTACCTCCCCTGTAGTTTGAACAATTACACTGACCTCCCATGAGGTTACTAATCCTTTATAAATTCAGTCCAAATGATTAAAATATTATTTTAGAGAGTGAAATTAAAATTTTGTACCTGATTTGTCCTTTGTGCCACATGTCCAATAAATGGCAAAGTATTACAAATTAATTAACAATTAATAAACTTTAACGAGCGTAGGGGTGCAAATGAGCCGAGCCGAGTCGAACATTGAACTTATCGAGTCAGGCTCGATTACTGTACACTCGAGCTCGAAAAAATTGAGCTCGAGCTCGACTCGACTAAGTAAGAAGCTGGCTTCGACTCGATAAGACTCGATTTGCTTGACTCGACAAGAGCTCGAAATGGCTCGAATTCAGCTCGAAAATTTCTATCACTAAACATAACCAGCTTTATTTAACCTGGCTTCAATAGCATGTTTTAAGCTATTCAATGCCTTGCAAACTTGAATTTAACAATTCCAAACATGAATTAAAAGTAACAACAATTCTTCATTGTCCAATAATACATCCATGAAATCAGAAACAAATGTCCCCAACTCCACATACATAATTGTTTCACAATTTTTCAATTCAAATGTCCAACACCTCAAACAAACTAAAAAACAAGGAACAAATAGTTTGAAATCACTCTAGATTAAGTCCTCCAGTAACCAATAGCCTCGAGTCTTGGATTCTTTCGCCCACAGCCGTGCACTAGGTATCAATAGAAACAAAAACAAGTCATTTGACTTCAAGCAAAATAGTCTAACATAGCTAACTCAAGATAATCAATTCCAATTTGAAGCAAAATGGACAAACATAATCAACTCAAGATAACCGATGTCATTTTTACATAATCAATTCCAATTTTTTTTCAATACCAACCCAGTTAGTAAAGGTCTAGCCATCTCAAACAAACGAGAAAATTGATACGTGACATTATCAACAAAATTAGTTTAATTTTCCAAGTGAAGCAAACTATGAAATAGATCCACAACAAATGATTCATCTACTAAGAGAAGAATGAGAACGGTCGTAACAAGAAAACCTCCTAACCAAAATACTCTCAATTGATACTTAGAACAACTTTTTTAATGCCTGTGCTTTGTCTAGGACCATAGAATGACACTAAGCATTTCAAGAGGGTATGGTATAAATCTGATTAAAAGTGGATAGTAGGACAATAATGCGGCTCCTGAAGTTTTTTTTTTTTTTTTTTGAAGGAGAAAGTTCAGGTCCAGAACCTAATTTCCTCACAAATACATTGATTTAGCATCCTTGGCATGCCACAGCTAAGTGAATTGGTGTTTGAATCAGGGAAAATGATTCATACGTCTGGACATGGCCCAACATTAAACATTGTTTTGTCCCTTTTGCTCTGGCTTTGTATAGAGACAAGTAAGGCCTAAAAGCCGTGAGCTAAGCTTTGATAGTGGTTGGCAGGTACCCACTTGATAAAAATTACCCCAGAATGAGAAAATAAAAAGTGAACAATCAAAAACTACAAACCAAAAGTATTTCAATCAAACAGAAGGTATATTCCATGAAAATGTATGTAAGAAGCTAAAAAAAGAAACCCAACATTCTTACCAATCTTCAAGAAACCGTCCTAATAATAATAACATATCCAAATTTAAAAAAAAAAAAGAAAATAAGGAGAAAAAAGTACATTGAGAAAAACGCTTGCTCCAATCAATAATCAGTACAACTTAATTCACCGAATACCTGAGAAGAGACAAATTTTTTTTTCCGCTAATTGATTGAAATTGGGGGACGAAAATGGGAAGGAAGAGGCGATCTAATTCTAACGAGAGCTCCGTCGCCATTAACAGGAAAGAGGAAATTAATAGTAATAATTTTACATCTAAACATTCTCAACAGGAAAGAGATGAAGAAGTCGATCTGGCTTCAATGATAGGAAACAATCACTTATTCTACCACCAAGCATATTATACAGCAACAAAAACATAAAATAAGGGAAGAAGAGTGATGGATAACCTGTTCGCGAGGCCCTTCACCAACGGAGCTGATGAAATGTCTACCGTAGCTGCTTCTAACGTCGGCCAACAAACTGGGACTGAAGTACTGAAGGACTCGGAGAGAAAGGGCTCTTCAATTGAAGGGCGGGGCAGTGGTGGTGGCAGAAGTGGCTGACTGGTGAGTGGTGAAGACGGTGGTAGGCTGGTAGCGGCGGCTAGGGTTTGCTTTTGATTTGGGGAAAGAAGAATGCCGACAGCGGAACAGCCGAGTGGGAAGAAGAAGAGGTGTGTTTGTGTCCACAGTCCAATGTCCGCTGTCTTGGTCCTTCAGTCCTTGGAGAAATTGTATCTAGTTACTAGTTTAGTAATTAGTTAAATAAGTAAGGATATTTATGTAATTTCCTGCGGCTCGCGAGTGGCTCGCGAGCTCACGAGCCTTCATACGGATGGCTCGAGCTCGACTCGTATTATAAACGAGCCGCTCGAGCTCGATTCGAGCTCAATATTGACCGAGCTCGAGTCGAACATTGACCGAGCTGCTCGCGAGCGGCTCGCGAGCAACTCGATTCGTTTGCACCCCTAAACGACCGTAGTTTATAGGCAAATACGTATTGCCTATTTAAAGTACCAGCTCTTTACATTAATTTTATTTTCAAACATTTACTTTATCACAAATATTTATTCTCAAATACAGATTTGTATTTACTTTCAAATATTTAATTTTTGTTAAATACAAAACCTACCAGTTTTATAGGCAAATACGCATATCCTATTTAAAGTATCGGCTTTTTACAGATATTTTATTTTCAAATATTTAATTTATGATAAATATATTAACATTTGTAATTAAAAATTAAAAAGTGTTAAAGTAATATTCTTGCAAAAAAAATCAGTAGGTTATCTATTTAATATAAATTAAATATTTTTTTAAAAAATAAATGGCCTCATAAACTATTAATTTTTTATGACTTTCATCCATTACATGAGTAAAGTATTAGCTCTTTATGGATATTTTATCTTGAATCATTTAATTTATGTTAAATACATAAATATTTATAACTAAAATTGAAAAAGTGTTATATTAATATTTCAACAGAAGAAAAATTGGTACGTTTTGTGTTTAACAAAAATTAAATATTTGAGAGTAAATACAAATCTGTATTTGAGAATAAATATTTGTGATAAAGTAAATGTTTGAAAATAAAATACATGTAAAGAGCTGGTACTTTAAATAGACAATACGTATTTGCCTATAAACTACGCTCGTTAAAGTTTATTAATTGTTAATTAATTTGTAATACTTTGCCATTCATTGGACATGTGGCACAAAGGACAAATCAGGTACAAAATTCTAATTTCACACTCTAAAATAATATTTTAATCATTTGGACTGAATTTGTAAAGAATTAGTAACCTCAGGGGAGGTCAGTGTAATTGTTCAAACCACAGGGGAGGTAAGTGTAAATATCAGAAACCTCAGGGGAGGTTTCTGAAATTATCCCAAAAATATATTCTCAGCGGGTTTTCTGTAAATAGTCGGTAACCCGAAGCCCCAAATTCTATTCCCTTCACCCCTCTCCTCCAAGAGTTTGACTCTGAACCCTTCCTTCCACTCGATTGGTTTTGCTTTGATCAAGTTTTCTTCCTTCCTTCTTCAATTCAGCACCACTTTTTACTCTTCCATTTTCGATAATCTCACAACCCGACACTGCATGCTACCGGTCCACCTGTTTTTTTTTTTTTTTTTTCCCGCTTCAAATGAGATTTCTAAACCCCTGTACCTAATTCATAGTTTTCATCAATTTTATCTGTATTCCCTGAGTTCAATTTTTATTGTTTTTCAAAAGAGTAGCACAACTGTCGACTAATTTAAAGTAAACTAGGGCTTAAAAAGATGAAGATAGAGGATTTGGATGAGATAGAGAACGAGTCAGAGACTGCGATTGTGGGTGGATTTGATTGCGATTATGATTATTATGGCAATCATAGGAATTCCAATCAGGATCGCAGGATGATTGCCCGGGTCGACGCCAAGAGAGCTCTTGTTGGAGCTGGTGCGCGGATCCTATTTTATCCGACCCTTTTGTATAATGTTTTCCGTAACAAAATGAACCAAGCTGAGTTCAGATGGTGGGATCAAATTGATCAGGTCCACTTTTAATTGTACTGTCTGCGCAGTTGTTCCTTTTTTTTTTAATTAATTTTTCCTTTGTGAAATTGGATTTTTGTAGAATGTTATTTTTACTTTTGCTGCTACTTTATTTATTTATTTTTTTTGGTGGAGTTGGATTTTTGTAGAATTTATTTTTTTACTTTTGCCGCTACTTTAAAACTTCAATTTGGGGGTTTTAGCTGTTTTATTGTTTTTATGCATATGGTGAAGGAGAATTCTTGTATATGTGGACGTTGGTTTAAGTCTGTTGACTTGACAAATGGAAATTCTGAACTGTTCCCGAAATATATTTTACTAGTTGTGCCATGTTCGGGATTTATGAGATTGTCATCTCAGACTTGTTATTTCTTTCAAATTATTTGGGTTTTCAACGTAGCTATCTAAATACTCTGCGGATGAGGTTATATGGTCAATCAGTTCTAGTCTAGTAGATTTATTAACCTTTCATTTCGTTCTTGTCTTGATTTTTTCAGTTTTTGCTCTTGGGAGCAGTTCCATTTCCCAAGGATGTTCCTCGGTTGAAGCAGCTCGGTGTTGGTGGTGTTATTACCCTGAATGAATCGTATGAAACTCTGGTTCCAACATCATTATACCGCGTGAGTATCATGCCACATAGAATCTGGCTTTGAGGTTAGATGTTGAAGTTGATAATTTGTTGGAAATATTGGGTTATGCATTCTATCATAGAGTTCTATAACTCTCTATGCTGTCTGCTGCGGATTGATCATATGCTTGCTTTATTGACATTTGTTGACTTGTGTTTGCTGCTATAGGGGGTCCTAACCTTTTCTTCATAATTGGTGGTTGGTGGATTATCTTTCTGCCTGAAGCTTGCCATCAACTTCTGTTTCCTCCAGTAACATGTTTTTAATTCTCCAGGGCTTTTCTCGAGATATGTACTCTAAATTTTAGGGGCATCCCCTTTATGGTAGGGTGGTAAGAATTCTGTTTTTCCTAGGAATTGTTTAGGCAGTTTTGGTACTAAACTTCTAGCTTCTTTGTTTGACTCGTAAATTATGTAAAGCTGCATTCTACGCTGAAGAACTGTGGTGCAAATTTCTTTTTCTAGTCAAGAAGTTTAGACGGAAGACCATACAGCCTTCAGCATTTTGGCATGAACTAGTGGAATATCATCTTCCATCTCATCATACTCAGTGCAACTCTATTGACGTGATAATAACAGAGCTGGAAATTGAGTAGATGAGACACAAAAGAGCTAATTTTTCGTTATATTGATTCTGATTTCTCCCCATTTTTGGTGTTTTTTGTCTACAAATTCTTAATGAAGATTTCTCATTTCCTAGGACACTAGGAGATGAAATTTGTATCTTAAACTTTGAAAGAAAGGACTTTGATCTGGTGCAGAAATTGCTGATAACATGATATTTAAATTAATTGAGAGGCATTGCATTTTTTTTTCTGGTCAATATTGTCTAATATATGTTCACCAAATTTTTATGTTTGGTTTGCAGGCTCATGCGATTGCCCATCTGGTTATTCCAACTCGGGATTATCTCTTTGCTCCATCATTTTTTGATATCAATCGTGCTGTTGAATTTATCCATGGTAAGTGTATTCTTTTTTTTTTCCTGTTCTATTTGGCTTCGTTTGGTTTTTAAGCTATGAGGTGACATGTCTTCTTTTGGTGGCAGAGAACGCATCTGTTGGTCTAACGACGTACGTACACTGCAAAGCTGGGCGGGGAAGGAGCACTACAATTGTTCTCTGCTATTTGGTATGGTTTCAGGATTTATGGTGTTGTCTTTCCAAATTTTTATATGTAGCACCAGTATTCACATTAACTATTCACATTTGTTATTTGATTTCTCGCAGGTGGAGTACAAGAACATGACTCCAGCTTCTGCACTAGAGTATGTTCGTTCTAGGAGACCTAGGGTGCTGTTAGCTCCTCGTCAATGGAAGGTAATGAGCAATAACCAACTGATGCATATTCGAATTTCAATCAGAGTTTAACATTTGATTCTTTCTTCTGATTGTTCTGATTTTAAAGGAAATATGACCCTATGTTCTACAGTGCTTACTCATTTCTCATCTTCCATGACAAATCATTTGTCTAACGAGCAGGCTGTACAAGAATTCAAGGAGTGGCGGTTGGCTTGTGCAGGACAGTCTCCGTCTGTAGATGCTGTGTTGATAACAAAAGCAGATTTGGAGGGCTACCAGAGTTCTGGCGATGATACGTCCAAGGAGCTGGTGATTGTACCCAAAATGAGGAGTAGGCCCATGATAGCAAGGTTGTCCTGTCTCTTTGCGTCTTTGAGAGTTTCGGGTGGGGGCGTCCCTGTCATTAGGCAACTAACTGAGGCGCGGGCATGCTAGTTTCTGTCCTTTGGGTCCGCTGCTTGCTTGTACAGAGGAGCATTGGCAAGGAGGTCGTTATAGCATCAGTAGTCTTGTCGTAGGAAAGAAATAGGAGGGAGGAATAATCAAAGACAGGAGAGCAAACTACTGATCCCTTAAATGTGGCTGTATAACATGGGGTTAGGTCCTCTACTTCAATCCATTTGTAAATGTTTGCTTCAGTTTTTGGATATATTCTAATGCAGTGCGGAAAATCTGGCAAATTATAATAACAGGCCCTTTTTCGTCCTTGGCACCGTGGTTAGGCATCTGTTTCTTTCATGAATTTTGAAAAAGGTGCCTTTTGACCATTCAATACGCGTTGTAGATGCTTCTCAGAGCAAATTGATAAAAAGCAGTGCAGTTGTGGTACCTGGGCAGGGCAAATGTTTCATGAGCGGAGCAGACGACGTGGTTTCTTGAAGTAAATTGAAGGCCGTTAGTGCGCAAAATTTTCATTATTATATGGAAAGCTTGTCTAAAAGGTGGCAATAAGTATAGCTCCATACGCCTGAGAAACACCGCTAAGAGTTTTAGGTACCTTCAAATCATATACCCCTTTAACGTGGGCAGGCCTAAGCGTGTTTGTGCTACATCATATTCCTTGACCTTTGGGTCGAATTGACTTCATTTCTTTTTCTACTCTCGGATACAGTTAGCATTTGATAGATAATTGAGGTTTGATCTCTGGCTGCAAAAAGCTTTAAGCGAGCGACGCACAAGGTTTAACTAGGCTTGAGTTTCCATGGAAGACTTTCAAACTAGTATTCCATTCAGTCTTTTTATTTATTTTTTGGTAATTCAAA